TTGACGTGGTCGTACGCGCTGCACAGGCGTGCGCAGCGGCTGAATTTGAAATTCTTAGCTCTCACATGCATAGAGAATATCCCTGCAAAGTTTTAGCTTTGTACCTTGTCTGATTCGCGAAATCGCTTCCCGCTAAAGAAATTTGCATATTTTTGGGGAGGTCCGTACTCGGGATCTAGGCGCCTACGGGAGATCTTAAAATGAAAAGGTGACACACGCAGTAGGGAAATATACCCGAAATTTCAGCCTCCTAGCGTCCTTGGTTGCTGAGATGAAAGTGGGTGACAAAATGCACTTGCTTCCGCACACACACACGCACACACACACACACACACATGCAGCCTCTCGAAAATATGCGTTTTTGCTGGCTGTTAAAGCGCAGCACAGTACAAACGCATACTGTGACGACCCATTGTGTGCGTGTGTGTTTATGTTCGAGTGTGTGTGTATGTGCGCATGTTTGTGTGTGTGTGTGTGTGTGTGCGTGTGCGTGTGTGTACGTTTGTCCGGGTATTTCAACTCGGCAACAGGCAAGCTCCGGCGCCAAAATTCTGCCAGCGGTTCTCCGGCCAAGTGTCACCCAAAGACAGCGGTACCAACTCTCACGCAAGTCCGGGCCCCGCACACGACCACGTGGAAGTTTTGGGGGAAAATCGCCGGCTCAGAAACCAGAAAAGCTAGGAGGCTGAAATTTTCAGGGGATGTTCCTTATTCACACAGAACTCAAAAATTTCAAATTCAGCCTCAAGTTACATGCGGTAGTCAAGTACGGCCTCGTGGAAGTTTTCGGCCAGAAAAGCTGGAAAGCTGAAAGTTTGAGTGAGTGTTCCCCGTCTATGTGGAATTCAAATATTTCATATTCAGGCTCCAAGCATGCGTGGTTCGCACGTATAGCCAGTGGAAACTTTTGGGAAGAATGGCTAACTCGGGGACCAAGAAAGCCAGAAGCTTGAAATTTTCAGGAGACTTTTCTGGCATCCGTACAATTTAACGGTGTCGTATTCAGTCTCCAGGCATGCGTACTTCTTACGTACGAATCTATGAAGCTTTTTGTTGGGAAAACTGCAACGTTGGGAACCAGAAAAATTGGAGAGCTGAAATTTTAATGGAATCTTTTCTGTTCAAGTTGTGCGATTAAAATCCGAAATTTATGGCCTGTATGGTACAATTTCTAGCTACTGGGTTTCCATACGATCTCACTACTACACCAAGTACTGCAAAAACGCATGATCGTATGGCCCTGCTTGGTGCGCGTCGCTAGTGATTTTCTTTTCTACGCTTTCTTTTTGGAGGAGTCCATTGATACGGAGCAGATTTCAGTAAATCCAAAAAGAAGCACAACTAGCTATGTGATCGGTAATGCTTGAAACAGAACCAGAGAATGAGTTATTTGTTGAGATCGTTGCCAGAAGCACAGAATATGGATATATAGTCACTAATTTCCGCAATCATGATTCTATTATGGTCTCGTTACAATCACTGAAATTTTAGCTTTTTCTTTTAGATATCGTCATGCTTTTCTCGATCGATAGCGCTTTTTGGATGTTCTGCTACTTCACAGCACTGCCGATGAAATTAAGAGTACTGCTTAACAAAATGATTGCTCAGTCAGGGATTTTCGATAAATTTTTTTCCTTAGAAATTTCAAAAAAGTTTTTCCGCTCCCAAATTACTGCAAACTGGAAGAGCATGCCCGAAAAAGGAAGTTCGCAAGAGTTGAGGCTGGGATGGTGCTGAATAATGGATTGAGGTATATGGACACTTGACCAACCATGAATTGCATTATTGAAGGTCGTCGTTGTCGCTTGCGCGCCGTCAGCAATGATGTGTGATGCAAGTGCAGCAGCAATTAGCACCGCTAACATTCCTGCAATTACTGTCTTTATAAAAGCAATAAGTGTTTTGGATGGAAGGAAGTATTTTTTCACTACCATCTTATGCCTCTCGAGCATGATGCTAGACACATACAGTTAATGAACAGATTTCTATCAGATTTAAAGCGCATCGTTTTGTAGTACATGTTCTCCCTTAATGCGTATATGCAAATGCAAAAACGCATACGTGACGACTCTTGGTATGTGTGTGTACCTGCATTTGTCTGTAAGTGTGTGTGTTTGCGTCTGCCTGAGTATTCCAGCGCGGCAATCAACTAAGCTTTGATGCTGAAACTTTGCCACCTGGCCAAGAGCCACTTCAGGAACGCTGTACCAATTTATGTGCGCGTCTGAGCCCGCATACGCATGCATGAAAGAAAAGCTGGAAGCTGAAATTTAAAAGGAAACCCTTGTCCACGTACAACTTAAAGGCATCAGATTCAGCTCCTAAGTGTGCATGCTTCTTGGCGAGATAATTGCTAGCTCGGGAACCAGAACTGCTGAGTCATTTTCAATGAACGATCTATCAACGAAAATCATTCGTTTTCCTTTATGCAAAATTCAGTATGTTATACAGAATGGGGATACAAATGAGATGTAAAGCAACAATCGTTAGTCACGAGCACCACGCGCGCCTGTACGATTATGTGTTTTTGCACTATTTCATGCTGTAACGAGATCGTTTGGAATTCCAGTAGCTAGAATTTGTGATGTATTGGTTCATGAAGTTAACTGTGCAACTATGTGGCGGTTGCACAAGGGACATTTTGTTAAAATTTCAGCTTCCTTGCTTCTCTGTTTCTGAGTTAACGATTTTCCCGTCAAGAATTTTCATGGGGTTATGAGAAACACGTTCGTCTGGGGACTGAATATGAAATCTTTTGGCTGTATATGAACGGAGAACATCCTCTTAGAATTCCAGCCCTACCTCCCCCCCCCCCCCCCCCCCCC